AGCCTTGCGGAGGTGCTAAGGAGGCTCAATTGAGGGTAAAAATGATGAACCTTAATGTAGTTATTTGTGTCTAGAGTAAATCGATGGTAAATTCCTGCAGGCAAGACAATCATTCCCCCTTTCTTCACAGCTACCCGAATCCATTGGTCATTTTCATCCCTCACATCAAAATAACCTTCACAGGGAGGGGAGATGTAAGAAAATGAAATTTCACAAACAAGCAGTTCACAATGAATATAAATCTCAACTGGATGCCTAAAATCAGGAAGAAAAACTACCGCTTCCTTCAAGGCAGTAACGAATCTCTTCGTCAGTGTGCAAATGTTCCTCAAAGAAGCTCTTGATCTTGGCTTCATAATTTGGCAGCTTCTCTGGGCAAACTTCACAGATGTCCTGAAAGGGGAAAGAGATAACAAAAATGATAAATTTCTGCAAATCGCATCTTCCTGGGCTTCATGAAACTGACTAACAGAAAAAGGAAAAGTTTAAACAAAAATACCATGTAAGAGTAGCCCCTGGCTTCACGAATCTTTTTCAGAGCATCATCATTTTCATAGTCATCAGCATTTAGCCTCCAGCTGAGAACACCGAGTTCTTCAAAAGAAAGTTCATAAAAACTTTCAGCACCATGAACAGCCGATTGACAAATGCATTGAAAGCAAGGAAAAAGAAAATATGGTGGCATGCAAACCTGCAAGTTTGTCCATAGAAACAAACTGCTTTGGCTTGCGGTGATGGGGAAGCCTCTGGTCTTCTTCCGTGTTATCCATATACCATGCTTGGATTACTTCTTCCTTTCCCTCCTAGATTGAGTGGCCAGTAGAAAAGAAAATATTTCATAGAATTTGTTTCGATACATTTCTGTATACTAACAGCAAGTCCAAAAAAGTGTAATCTTTGTCTACAAATATACAATATTACTTCCTCCTGTATGATTTTAGCTTGGGCAGGGGTAGCATAGTAAAGAGGTAAATCTGACATGAAAAGGAAGATTTTATGCATGTCACCTAACAATTCAACAGCCCAACAAAGTAAATGCTATAGGTAGGATGGCTGATGGTTAAGAGTGTAACAACTAACAACTTTAACCCTTACTGAAAGAGACATTGTCAGCTCGTATCTAATAAGCTTTACAGTTTTATACTATTGTTGTCCCTTCGAAAGGGAAAGCACATCCCAAGTATGCGCTAGTTTGAGCATGCTTAACTTTTAAGATCCTAATACAACTGCAAGAGTTATAAGAAAATGTGCCTCAAGGTTTAACAGTTCAGCTCACTGAAAGTAGTTTAACGAAAAGTAAATTTTGCATCCATAATGAATGAACGTATGCAGTTGCTGGTAAAATAAGAGCCTTTCAGCTCCATTGGCAGATACAGAACTTCAGAAAGACAAGAATTTGCTAACGTTGAGGGGAAGGATACATAGAAGGCTATAATTCAATTGCATCTAAAGGCTTGTGGAGCTAAATAATAAAGATTAAAAAGATAAACAAAAGAAAATTCTGTGGTCATTGTCAGTTCACAATGCATTGGAAGAATCACTATCAGCACATAAAGCAATCCCATAATAGGATTTTATGAAAGCACTCAATCAAAGGATATTAAATACAAAAGTTTATTTGAGGTTTCGACTATAACACTTGATGCTTTTGCATTGGGTATAAAGAAAAAATTCAAAATAATCCTCCGACTATTCATATGTAGCCAATTTAGTCCTAGTCTACTATATTTCTCCAATTTAGTCATAGAGTACTACATTTCTCCAAAAGTTTATTTGAGGTTTCGACTAGAATACTTGATGGTTTTGCATTGGGTGCAAGGAAAAAATCCAAAATAGTCCCCCGACTATTCATATGTAGCCAATTTAGTTTAGAGTACCATATTTCTCTAATTTAGTCCCTTAACCATAGAAAATTGATCCCAAAAAGTCTTTTAGGTCGAACTTGAGAGAAATTGAGAGACAATATTGATCACAATTTAGTCCCTTGACTATATAAAATTGATTCCAATGTAGTCCCTTTGGATACTATGGGTAAAATTGGAGGGGGGTTATTTTGTACATTTACCAATTGTGCATATATAAGGAACAACCTTATTATTTTACTTCATGACCCAAACACATGTGCTCTAAAAGTGACTAAACACGTATGGAGAGAAAGTCCCTTCCATTGGTTTAGGTAAGATTTGTTAAGATCCTTCCAATTATCCAATCCAAATCTCTACAAACATCTGAATTTGGTTTTGAAACCCAACTCCTCTATATTTCCTCATTTTTGAAAACAAACTAGCCCATATGAACGGCATCAGGGTTTTATAAGAAGATCTCTAAAGAATTCTAAAAACTAAAAACCATAATATGTTCAAACAAGGAGAACGAAACTTATTCAAAGCCAACCATACATCACAAGAAAAATGATAGGTGGAAAAATTTTTAATTCTTAGATTGAATTTATAAAAACAGCTAGCAATTAATATAACTTCACTAATACCAATGAAAAGGGCAAATCAAGATGTACTAAGATAACTAGATCTAGAGAAAATTTTGGGGTAGGTTATCATCCATGTAAAAAATGTAGTAAAACAAGTAAAATCTCCATGAAATAAATTTTATGCCATTATTGATGTGGGGAAAAATCGTTGGATCGTTGGAAGAATCGGATTAGCAAGAAGAAAATCACAATCCCGAGAACAAAAACAAACACCAAGCTTCAAAAAGCTTCAAAGAGTGTAATATTTCATCAACAAAATTTCCTACTGCAATATTTTGCCTATTTATAGACTAATAAGAATATTCTAGAAACATAAGTAACAAGCTTATAACAAATTATGATAAACTATTCCTAAGAAGTATTCTAATAAAGATGTTCCTATATCATACTAGAATCATGTTTGCTATAATCATGTTTTCTACAGTATCTAGTTGCCCCTGGTGAAATAATCGGGTGTGTGGCTACTCAATCAATTGGAGAACCAGCTACCCAGATGACGTTAAATGTTTTTCACTATGCTGGTGTTAGTGTCAAGAATGTTACTCTGGGTGTGCTGAGGTTGAGAGGGAACAATATGTTGGCCAAGATGGCTCTTCGAGGCATTTCGGACATTAACAAAGTTTTTATTAAGTCTAGAAAGATAAGCAAGTTTGATGAGGATGAAGGTTTCAAACCTGATGTTGAGTGGATGCTTGACATAGAAGGTGTTAATCTGTTGCTTGTCATGTGTCATGAAACTGTTGATACATCTAGGACAACAAGTAATCGTCTGATTAAAGTTATTGAAGTTCTGAGGATAGAGGTTGTCCGTCGTGCTTTTCTGGCTGAGCTGCGTGTGGTTATATCCTTTAATGGATCATATGTTAACTATCGGCATTTGGCTATTCTTTATGACATTTTCAAGGGGGCATGGAATGAGGAAAAATCTAACAATGTATTATTTGGGAGGGGCAATTTATTTAAAGCAGTTGCAAAAATTATTGAGAACAAAAATTTCCATCCATGAGGATTGCTATCTCCCTCTTGACAACGTGCCTCGACGTCGAGATCTTTTGACGTAAGGGGAGTATGATGTAGAAACATCTTTAGTAGAATACTCCTTAGGAATAGTTTATCATAGTTTGTTATATGTTTGTTACTTATGGTTCCTAAAATGTTCTTATTAGTCTATAAATAGGCAAAGTATTGAAGTAGGAAATTTTATTGATAAAATATTACTCTCTTTGAAGCTTTTTGAAGGTTGGTATTTGTCTTTGTTCCATGGATTGAGATTTTCTTCTTGCTAGCCTAATTCTTCCAATGATCAAACGATTTTTCCCCACATCAATTATGTCACAAAATTTAAGTACCGTGTGAATAACTTTAGTTGTTATGTCCTCATAGGACCAATATTCATAGAGTTAAGATGAGGAAAAGGTCGGTTTGAGAATTTCATGCATGCACCCTAAATATTTTCATACACGTACATGCATGTCCATGAAACATTATACTCAATGTGCAATGTTAGGAGAAGACTACTAGAAAATCAGATAGCTAATAATGACTCTAAGGCAACTGACTTGAGGGATTTATGCTCATAAATATCAAAATTTGAGACATGTTAAAAACTTTGAGTTTGATGATTTTTTTCTTTTTCAATCTTTCATGTTTGGTTGGATGTTGGTTCCTTCAAAAGCGGTGCAATAGCAACTACTATTTTTTGGGGAAGTCATCACTTTGTGTAGGAGTGAGGCCTAGATTTCTATGTTGGTGATCACTCAATTTATTCTCATTATTTTTACATAATTTGATTGTTATATATTGACCTATTAATTTGAATATTATAAACATGAAAGTAAAGGTAACAAAATTCATCATTTTTAGCTAAGCACCATCACAACCTAGAAATAATTATTTGACAGATTAAGTTAAATCCACCACACTCAAACTCTTCATCCGTTTTCATAAAGATCAGGTAATCATCAGACGTTAATTATGAATGCACATTCTGGGAGTCAACCATAGTTAAGAGCAATTATCTTCATTTTTAACCTGTTTCGAGAAGTAATTAATTGAAGCTTTTAACAATGTTCTTCGGTTCATAATGCATTTAATTTGTTGACAATATAAAAGAAATGCAAAGGAGACTGACATAGGATATGAAAGACTGTGTTAAACAAAAGTTGATCGCGATCCAACCAAGACTTCCAACTTGTAGGCCAACGAATAAACATAAGGAACTAGCACTCACACTTAGCAGAAAGATAGAAAACAACCATTTCATAGTTGCAATGCCAATTTGACGGAAGAAAATTGTATCAATAGATCCCTCGCCATTGAAGAATCATCAATTTCAAACATAAAAAACCAAATTTAAAATTTTTAGATGAACTCGCCATTGGCCTTTCCAATCGCAAGATGCGGTGATCCTATTTTCTGTAAAAACAAATTTTGCTAGGCAAAACATCACGTAAATAAGATAGCATTGGCTAGTATGCTTCAATTAAATTCCAAACCAGAAACCCTCAATCAGCACAAGACTAAATCAAGTAAACTACAACCCATCCTTTTGGTGTTCAAAACTAATTCCTAAATATCAAACAAATTCCGGCTGCTTACAAGAAAAAGGTTTAAGTTCAATATTTACGGATCAGCAGTAGACGCAGAATCTCTGCGACACTTGCGCCTCCAAAATCCCAATCCTATTTTCCGGGCAACG